AATGTTCTTACGTCAAGAGTTTCCATTTTGGACGTGAGAACATTTAAGATCTTCAAACTTTTTAATGAAACCTATTTTTCTTTAAATGCAGAAAAACTCTTGTACCAAATTTATAGAAATTATATAGATTTGTTTGAATATCTATAAAGAATCATGAATGAATCTGTTTCGATTGATGACAAAAAAATCATAAAGAATCCATTAACATATAACTTTTTTCGTTTTAAGAATCAATAATTAACTTAATATTTCACTAACAAATTTTTGTAAATAAACTTAGAAAACGTAATATAGATAGAATTATAAATATTTTAAAAAATTAATCATAAAAATTTTAAAAAAATCTTCGTAATCATTTTTAACATACATACTCAATTAATGATATGTTAACTAATTATTTACACTGAGTTATTTTTATATTTTTGGCTGGAACTATTTTTTATCTATAATTTTATTTATTTGTGTTATAGTTATTAATTTTTTTTTTCAATATTTAAAATATATTTCATATTTTTAGAAAAATGATGATTTATATTTGTGCTAAATAAATCATCAACTTTAAGAGTCATTTTAGGCCTACCGTTATTCAACTATAAATGTTAACTAACGATATGAATAAAATGGTATGACCGATGAAAGTTTGTGATTAAAATGACTTGTCAACAAAAGATGAGTATTTTTTTGGCTTACGAGAAAGTTGATGATTTATTTCAACCAAATTTGAAAGTTGATGATTTAAATGAGATTTTTCCCTATAAAAATATGTTATTAGTTTAAAATTTTCATTAATGATGATGCATATAAGTTAGGGGTGGGCGTTCGGGTACCCGTTCGGGTTCGGGTCGGGTATTTCGGGTTTTCGGGTATTTCGGTATTGGGGTTTAGAACCTGTTCGGGTATTTTTACATATCGGGTCGGGTTCGGATATTTTTAGTTCGGGTTCGGTTATTTCGGGTCGGGTTCGGATATTTAGATTTTAAAAGAAAAATTTCAAATTCTTTATTACATAAGTTTCATGTATTTGAAATTTGACTATTAACTTAACTGTTTTTAAAAGTTTAATAAGTTAGACGATTAATAAGTATGAAAATAAATTATTGAAAATACAAATCATTATTTTGGTTGTTATTTTCGAACTTTGGATTCAAATTTTGTTTAAAATATGAAATAAGAAGCTTAATATGCTTTGCACGGGATGAAATTAATATTATGTTAAGGCTGGACAAAAAAATCCAAATCTAAAGAACCTAACCAAATCCGATCCAAAAAAAGTAGTGCCGAGAATCCGAACCAAAATCAGTTAAATATCAAAATGAGTTCATAATTTGGAATCTAGAAAACTGGAACCAAATCTGATTAGAACCAAAATATTTGAGATATCCGTAAGAGAGTTATATACTTGAATATTATTGTTTTTATAGATTTAATATCTTTGAATATATATAAAAATAGTAAAAAAATAAATATATAAAATAGCTAAACAATAATCAGAATACCCAAAAATATTTGACATACATTACTCAAATTTATATGTGATATATTATTTTATTTTTAGATTCTGAGAATATAAAAGTATATATGAATTTAAATTTTAAAATAATATAAACAGATTATCCAAACCCAAAACGAAACAAACCAAAATTTATAAATACCTGAATAAAGTTAAAATCCTTAAATCCAAAAATTCGAAACCCGAATAGATCCAAAACAAATCCAAACTCCCACTCCTAATTATGTTAACAGAAAAAACATAATTTTCTATAAATATAGTTTATAATAAATGAGATTCTTATTCAATGGAATATATAACCATAATAATATTTTTATGGAACAAAGCTTGTACCGTATTTTACGTTAGGAGTATTAAATTTTTGAATACAACATGTGTATCCATCTATGGCCAAATTCCATAGATCAAGCACATGATTTCCTCCTAACTGATAGATTAAAGCCTATATATTTTAAGATTTGTATGAACATTAAAGTAATTTTAGTCAAAGAAAAGAAAGCATTGAATGTAGTATTTTTCCGTCACCATTTTGAAGTATTCATAGGATGTGTTCTAATATAATGCAAAAACATCATATTATAATCTAAACGATATGCTGGTTAAGATACATAATGTTATATATGACATAGTAATTAAATATTTTGTAAGAGTGTTGTGCTAAAGATCGTGGAAAATTTTGGTTTGTCAGAAATGAGAAATTTCAAAATTTTCTTAAAAAATGAATTGAAATTTTTTATAAGAATATAGAACATATAATATACAAAATGATTTGATAGTGATTGGCGTCATATGTAAAAATAAAAACAACCCATAATTATTCTATGTTGCGTCTCTTAGATATTTTGAATTTGATATGATGTTTTAGAATACTTGCTCGACGCATGATGTTGTATAGGACTAGATGTCAATGATAGAAAACAATTATATGTTCTATGTAGGCTACGGTGAATATGAGTTTTGAAAATATTCTTATAATAACTAAATTAATTAATAGTATTTCACAATTTTTTTTATGGTTCTAAGAACGATGCTGATGACGATAATTAAAAAATGTTGAAAAAACTATGTATTTATAACTATAATGCATATAAGGGAAATCATGCTTATAATCAGATGTGGAATATCACATAGTAAATATGGTAAAACTATACAAAATAAGCATCATCAAATTATATATCATAGTAGTCCAATGGCAACTTAAGTAAATAATCTAGTTATAAAAGGGTTAAAATTAAAAGAGGTTGAGAATGATTCTCATGATGACACATATACAAAATGGCATACATGTAAATAATTTACCATTGTAAGGTTATTCAATTATTTTGCTTCTTCTTTAATAATAAGGGGATTATCTAATCTTAAACTATATATAACATTAATATAAATATTTTTAATAAAATGAGACAAATAAACTAAGAATAAATAGGTATATATACATATGTTCGGTTATCTTCGGATATTCGTTCGGGTTCGGGTATTACCCGTTCGGGTTCGGATATCCAAACTCTCCTAACTCAATACCCGTTCGGGTATTTTGCTACTTCGGTTCGGATTTCGGTTAGGATATTTTGGGTCGGGTTCGGGTACGAGTTCGGGTATCGGATAAAGTGTCCACCCCTAATATAAGTTATGGTATTTCAAGCATCTTACCAAAAATATAAAACTTTATAAATGTAACCATAGTAAGAATTAACATGTCTATCCTTTTCACTAATCCATGTTATCTTTTTCTAATGAAAATGTATGTGATGATGACAAATAAACAAAATTCAAAAATCAATTTTTAAATAATGTTTAGGTGATTTCAAGAAAAATAATTAATTAATATTTATTTAAATTCATTGAAAACTGATAATTAGAGAAATAAGATATTTATGATACAAATTTTTGTGATTTCTTAAACTAGGATATTTTTTTTTATGAAACAGAAGTAGAGTCGTAAAATTTAAAACAGTAACCGACACTTCACCAATTAGTAAACCGTTTTCAATTGAAGTCGAGGCAGCATCCTCCAATCCTCCAGAGAGTAACCGAGCCTTAACCAAATGCTATTACTGAAGCTCAAACTAGGGCGGGCCACAGATACCCGTTACTCACCTTATACTCGTTACTCGCCTTATACTCGTTACTCGCCCTGTACTTGATTCTGTTTTTCAAGTACTCGTTGTTATCAAGTTGGGTATCAAGTATTAGAAATTAGATACTTGCAAATATAAGGCAAGTAACAAGTATGAAAAAAAAAATAACTATTCGCCTTGATATTACTCGTTACTTGCTCAAAGAAGATGTTTTGTTATTATGAGAAGTAAATAATGTTCCTATACAGAGATATATGTTTTTTTCTTGGTTCTTTGTTTTTATAACATGTACAAATATTTTGTTTTATTATCGTTTTTTATGTTTTTAAATAGAATAAACAAAATAAACTTTTATGTGCATTTTTTAATAAATAATTATTCAGCAAATAATTCTTTAAATACTCGTAATTATATATGTAATTCACAAGTACTCATACATAACTCACAAGTATTTGCAAATAGTAAGTAATAAATCAACGCAAGTAACTTGTAAGTAATTCATTTTTCAGCAAGTAATCGGAATAACAAGTACTCGTTTTTAACAAGGCAAGTACAAACCGAAATTTTCATTACTCGAATAAGGCAAGTTAAGTATCAAATATCACTAGAATATCAAGTAACCGCCTTGTGCCCACCCCTAGCTCAAACACTGAAGTCAACCTCCTTTAAAAGAGTAAACCGAGGCTCAACCAAATTCTAAACCGAAGTCCAATCAAAATTCTAAACCGAGAACTCAGATATTACGTACCTTCTCTCCGGGAGGACGTAGCCGGCGATATCAGATGCAGCTCTTAGGGCATCTTTCCACGCCGGAACTCTGTGTTCAGATCCCTGGAAGATCTCTTCAGATCTCTCGAAAGGAGCTCCGAAGTTCCCAGTCTGATACCTCACATCCGACGCCGAAACTTTGTAGAAGACCGGTAAAACCACTTGATCGAAGCTCTTCTTGCAGTCCATGATCTTCGCGAGTTCCTCTAAGCACCACGCGGAATTCGCGTAATTCTCCGAGAAAACGACGATGGAGATCTTGGATTGCGCGATCCTCTCGAGAAGCCCCGAGAGATCGTTGCCTCGCCGGAGTTCCTCATCGATGAAAGCGTCGATCCCTTTCCGGCGAAGGAAATCGAGGAGGTAGCAGGTGAAGGAGTGGCGCGTGTCTGCGCCTCGGAAACTGAGAAACACGTCGTACTGACGGCGTGAAGGATCGGATTTGCAGGACGAAGTAGCAGCCATGGCAGAGGAATTCGAGAGGTTAGGAAATGTGGATAAGCAGCACAAAGTTAAAAGGTCAAACTTTCTTAATTTGTAAGCTGTGTGAAAAAAACTATATAGTAAAAATACAAGTGGGGTTATAAAACAATAATGAAACAAGAATCAAAGAGTTGACTGACTTTGAAACAAAATCGAAATCAATGGAAGAATGGGAAGCTTTCTGTGAGTTCCTCTGCAACCGCCAATCTCCGCTTCCGCCCTCTGAGTGCACTGCTGATGACGCTATTGAGTTTCTCCTTACACTTCCCTCCGATGGAATCGACAAGGTTGCCGACCGCCTCAGCGCCGTCAACTTACAGGAAAATCCATTTGGCAGCAGAATAGTAAGAACATACTTGAAGCTTATGGAAGGACATGCTGATGGGGAAGAATACAAATCTGACAGACAAGAGGACAAGGTGGATCTGTTTGAGAAGTGCCTGACAACCAGCGATGTCGGTAGCTCGAACCGCCTCGTCATCACACCCAACGAGGACTTGAAGACTTACTTTATCTTAGCCACTATCCCAGGAGACCCAGAGAACTATCTTCGGTTAGAGGACGAGGAAGGCAAGCCATGGTTGTTCGGACTCTCACACCTCAAAGATGGCTGCCAAAGCTTTATCTTGAATAAATGCTGGAGAAGCTACGTTAAGGAGAAGCAGCTTGATGCCGGAGACTTTGTCTTCTTCCAACGGCACCTTACACACACAAGAAGGCTCTTCATTGGATGCAGAAGGCGTGAACGTGGCACTGCTTCCAGTGATAACCCTCACGAGTCTTCTCTAAGTGCAGCTCTGAATTCACCATCACCAATTATATCCGCCAATACGCTAGAACTTAGAGATAAACTCAAGGAAGTTAAAACTTCTTTCCAACCAAAATCGCCCGAGCATAGCATTACCGGGTCTGACTCTGTCTTTGTCATTTATTGTGGTGACAACCAGGACTCTGAGGAGGTATACTTCATCGGCTACATCTTCAACGAGTTGCGTCTCCGTGGATTCATCCCCTTGAGATATGATCTAACCAGTAGCTCAGTGACTAGGAACCCGGAGATGCTATACAGATCACGGGTTTGTATTATCATTTTCTCGATGAACTATGCTAATTCTCGAGAATGCATTGATGAATTCGTGGAAAATATGGGGCATCTGAATACAAACCTCGTTGTGAAAATTCCTGTGTTTTTTAAAGTAAATTTTTCGGAAGTCAGGGGTCAAATTGGCTCTTTTGAAGAAGCATCTACACGACTTGGGAATTCAGTCGAGGCAGCCCAAGTTCTGAAATGGAGGGAGGCTTTGCTCGAATTACTTTCCATCAATAAATATCAGTATACGAAGGGGTAAATTGATTTCTCTCTTTCTTTTTTTATATTTGTATAGTGTGGTAAACGTTTCAGATTCTGATGGTTTCTTGTACAGGGATGAGGTTATACTAGCCAAGAAAATTGTCGGATATGTCTGTTTGATGGTCAAATATGAAATGAGCGATAAGCGAGGAGAAATAAGGTCTCAAATGAATAGTATATTGTCCTTACTAAATTGTTCTCAATTCTCAGCCCCACATATTGTTGGACTTTGGGGTATGGCTGGCATAGGGAAAACTACCATCATGGGAGACATTTTCAGAAGACAAGCTGAGACGTATGACGTGTGCTACTTTCAACCAGACTTTCATCTAATGTGTCAAACAAAAGGGTTGAGTCAGTTGCGCGAAGAATTCTTCTCCAAAATATTTGGTGAAGAAAACGTTTTCAAAGACGCATGTGACACGAAACCTAGTTTCATAAGGGATAGATTCCTTGATAAAAGGGTTCTCATCGTTATTGATGGTGTGAGTAGTGCTCGAGATGCAGAAGATTTTCTTGGAGGATTTGGCTGGTTTTCTGATGGACATACAATCATCTTAACATCTAGGAATAGGCAAGTTCTTGTACAGTGCAACACCAAAGAGATTTACGAAATCCAAAAACTATCCAAGGACGAATCTATTCGCCTTTGCTGCCAGTTTGACGCTAAACAAGATTGGAAGGGAAAGATGTCTGAGCTGGTGAAATACGCTAGTGGCATTCCATTGGCTCTTAGTGCCTTGGCCTTGTCTGTAAAAGATCAATATATTAAAGATGAGAAAAATCACCTGAGAAGACTGCGTCAACATCCTCCAGTCAAAATTCAGGATGCATTTAGAATAAGTTTTGATGGACGAGATGACAACGAGAAGAGCATATTTTTGGACCTGGCTTGTTTTTTCAGAGGGGAGTATAAAGAGCGTGTGGTAAACATCCTTGATGGTTGTGGTTTTTTCACAGATTTAGGAATCTATGGTCTCATTGATGAGTCCCTTATCAGCCTTGTAGATGACAGGATAGAAATACCCAACATTTTTCAAGACACGGGTAGATTTTTTGTTTGTCAAGAAAACAAAGAGGCAGGCAAGCGCAGCCGATTGTGGGATTCTGATGACATTGTTGACGTGCTGATAAAAAATTCAGTAAGTCTAAGAACATGTATAATTATTAGTTATAAGGGAACTTTAGATTACTGCTTTCTTCGCTTAGAAATGTTTGCCATTTTTCTTCAGGGAACCGAAGCAATTGAAGGCATATTTTTGGATCTTTCCGGCTTGACATTAGACTTGAATCCTACCGTTTTTGAGAGGATGTATAGACTTAGATTGCTCAAGCTACACTGTCCAACTTCCGATAACCATTGCAAGGTTTCTCTACCTAAAGGCCTCCACTCTTTGCCTGATGAGCTACGGCTACTACATTGGGAAAGATATCCTATAGAATCTTTACCTCGCAACTTCAACCCAAAAAATCTCGTAGAACTGAACATGCCTTATAGCAACTTGACAAAACTATGGAAAGGAACAAAGGTATGTCTTGACATTATCTTGCAAACTGCTGCATACACAAGGGAGTTAGCTTGTAGTTAATGTCTCATTTTGGTTGTTCGTGTTTGTAAACAGAATCTTGAGAAGTTAAGGAGAATCAATCTGAGTCACTCCCGACAGTTGACTAAATTCCCAAGGCTTTCAAAGGCCAAGAACCTTGAACATATTGATCTTGAAGGATGTACGAATCTGGTTAAGGTTAACTCATCTTTTCTTCATCATCACAAGCTTACTTTCTTGAGTCTGAAAGACTGTTCACGTTTGCAAAGTATGTCTGCCACGGTTCATTTAGCAGCTCTCGAAGTTCTTAATCTATCTGGCTGCTCAGAGCTCGTTGATCTTGGTGATTTCTCACCAAACCTGAGTGAGCTATATCTAGCTGGGACTGCAATTACAGAATTGCCATCGTCAATAGGGGGTCTCACTAGACTTGTTACACTAGATCTGGAGAATTGTAATAGACTTCAGCATCTGCCACCAGAGATGCGTAACCTGAAAGCTGTGGTCAGTCTTAGCGCAAAACTTCCTCATTCGTCCAAGGATTCAAGGGATCTATCTAGAGTGGGGGATAAAGCACTATCATATAGAAGAATCAGTTGGACAACAGTTACTAAAGCTATTATGCTGATCGTAAGACTAAGGAAGCGAGCAAAAAGGGCCTCTATAGCCACAAACCTTTTTAAGGTAAACATCAGACACAATCATTAGCAGATACATGTTAATGGGAATCTGACCATCACCTTGAATGATATTTCGTGATGGCTTAAAAAGATTTGAGTTTCTCTCCTGTTCTAAACCAACTAGCTTCATTTTACAGGTTAAGCTTGGCTCAGATTCTACCTTGGTAAGTGATCTTTCTTACAACACTTCCTGGGGATTCTTTGGTTTACCAGAAAGACCCGGCCAACCTGAATGCGCATATTACATGAAGACAGGAGACTGCAAATTTGGCCATACTTGTAAATTTCACCATCCGAGAGACAGAGAAACCCATGTCAGTGATGTCACTGATAGCCACCCATCACGACCGGTAAGCCACTTCTTATACTAGCAGTAGCAGACGTCAAATTTTCTATCCTCACTAAAACTACCTGAAATCCTGTGTATTGCGTATTGCATCCTCATATTTTGATCTACTCTTTCGACAGGGAAAACCTGTGTGTCCCTTGTATTTTCACACTGGAAACTGCAGCTCGGGTCCTACTTGTAGTTTTGATCACCCATCGTTGATACCAACTCAGATGAACACATTTCTCGTGCCATCCGAGACACAACACTTAAATAAACTAGGATTTTCCTCTTCAGTTGGAGATTCATTAAGTGACCTTATGGAAGCAGAAACTAAGCAACAAAGAATCCAGAAGAACATATCTGCCAAGGCTTCTAGATATAGGCCAGAACCATCAGAAACTGGTAGATACCAAATTCTTTCTTGTTTTTATTTACTTAATGATTTTTTTTTCTGAAAATTCAACTTCTAAAATCGTTTTTATTTTGAGTGCTACAGGTTCTCCAGAGAAGAAGTTAAAACCGCTTAAACATATAACATCTCTGGACTTGAAAGGGTAACGTACCACTACCAAGTGCTTCACCATTTTATCGAAATTGATGTCTTAAAATCTTTTTATTTGTACTACAGTGGGATAGGTATTACAGAGGCTCTCAGACTTCAGATGGAAGTGCAGAAGCAACTCCATGAGCAGCTAGAGGTATGTCTTGTCTGTATTCAATACGACATTGTTTATAGCTTTGTGAAATGTGATTCTAAGAAGTTTGAGTTTTGATGAGAATGTGTTGTTTTTTTTCTTTCGATGTTCTTGCAGATTCAAAAAAACTTGCAACTCCAGATAGAAGAACAAGGCAAGCACCTTCAAATGATGTTCGAGAAACAAAAATCTGGTCTCGGTAAAGGTACAGCCTCAACATCAGATACGCCAGCCAAATCCGAACAGGAAGACAAGAAAACAGATGATTCAAAGGAGCTCGCACCAGAGGAAACAATGAGTTCCCAAAGAGCCGGAATCTCCGCAGGCAAAGCGCACTAAAACCGATAACTTAAAGAATCTTTCTGCTAAGACTTGTTGGATCATTTTGGAGTTCCAGAGTTGAACAGTGAGAGAGAAAGAATCTCAACTGTTTTAACGATTCTTTTCCGATGGAAACACTCTCTACTGTGTTGTGGATCCTCAAAGAAGAAGCCAAAATAAATAAAGAGTTTTTGTTTTTTTTTAACTCAACATCAACTTTATATTCATCATTATAGGGAATACATGATTTTACACCACACAAGTGCTTAGAGCACCTCCAATGGTGTTACCCACCATTGGAGTCCTTAGGTATAAACAAATATTTTTTTTTATTTTTTATTTTTGAATAGTTAAGGATCATAATTTGGTCCTCCAATCGTGTTACCGGTTATGGAATCCTTAACTTTTTTTTTTTTTTTAAATTTGTAAAACATAAAAATATTTAAAATTTATTTATTGAAAGATTACTTGTAAACATACAATAACTAAACATCTTCATCATTACCAAACTTGTTCCAAATATTTTCGATCAAATCATTTTTAAGGTGTTCATGTAAACTCTGGTCCCGAACATGTTGCCGTGCGCCAATAATATCTCTGAGATTTGTAGGAATCTCGGTAGAATATGACATATCCACCCGTGAACTCCGACTTGAGTCTCCTACTTCGAACTCGGATGTATCATACTGAGTGTATCCATGGCGTTCATCTTCTACTATCATATTATGCAGTATGATACATGTTCGCATAACCATCCCTATTTGTTTCTTGTCCCACAGTATTGTCGGGTTTTTCACAATAGCAAATCGAGCTTGCAATACTCCAAAAGCACGTTCGACATTTTTTCTGGTTGATTCTTGAACCTTAGCAAATAATGAAGCTTCAGGACCTTGAGGATGTGAGATCGATTGGATAAATGTTGACCATTTTGGATATATCCCGTCAGTTAGGTAGTAGGCCAAATCGTACTGGTGTCCGTTGACCACGTATTGTACTTTTGGAGCGTGACCTTGGATAATGTCATCAAAAACAAGGGATCTCTCGAGGATGTTAATATCGTTTAAGGTACCCGGAGGACCAAAAAAAGCGTGCCATATCCAAAGATCTTGTGAAGCCACGGCCTCCAATACAATTGTCGGCTTTCCTGATCCCCGGGTGTACTGTCCTTTCCACATGGTTGGGCAATTTTTCCACTCCCAATGCATACAGTCGATGCTTCCAATCATCCCCGGGAAGCCGCGCATCTCTCCGATATCGGGTAGTCGTTGAAGATCCTCTGGAGTAGGTCTTCGTAGATATTCATCTCCAAAGAAATGTATTATCGCTTCTGTGAAATTGCTTAAACAGGAAAGTGCAGTGCTTTCACCAAGTCGGAGATACTCGTCTAGAGCGTCAGCTGCACAACCATAAGCAAGCATACGAACTGCGGCCGTACATTTTTGAATTGTAGATAGACCTAACCTCCCAATGGCATCTCTTTTCTGTTGAAAGAATGGAACATTTGCAGAGAGGCAATCGACAATACGCATGAATACTGACTTGTTCATGCGAAAACGGCGGCGAAATAAATGAGGCGGGTATGTGGGATCTTCACTGAAGTAGTCTGTCCATTGACGGTCGTGGCCCATTTCGCGTTCCCGTTCGTGATATTGACGTCTCCTCGGTCTAGTTCTTCTATTCTCGACAATGTTGTTGTATGAATCGTCAATATATTCATCGACAGCCTCGTCTACTATCGCATATAATCTCCGATCGACTTCGTCTGCCATATTTTGGTTATCCTCCCTTCAAATATAACCAAGATATAGTTATTACAAAATTATTACAAAATTTGGTCAGTTTATATAAATCTGATGTTTATTACTTAACCTTTTTAACTTTGTTGTTTATATAAACCGCAAAATTATTAAACTTTGTTGTTTATATAAACCGCAAAACATATAATCTTTTTAAACTTTGTTGTTTAGTTATTAAAGTTAATTAGTTAATCTTTTTAAACTTTGTTGTCTATATAAACCGCAAAACATATAAATTAATTTGTTATTATTTTTATTCTTAATTTGTTAACCTTTTTATTCTTTGTGGTTTATATAAATCTGATTAAAACAGTCAAAATATGGTTTTATCTTTTTAAACTTTGTGGTTTAGTTATTAAAGTTAATTAGTCAAAACATATTACTTCCAAACACAAACACAAACCATACAAAAATTTGTTAACCTTTTTATTCTTTCTGGTTTATTTGCACAGACACAAACCGCAAAACTTTGTTACAGCAATTCCTATTCCTATTCCTATAAACTAAACACGTTCAAACCAGCAGATGTTCATGATCACAAGTACAGCAATTCCTATTCCTATTCCTATAAACTAAACACGTTCAAACCAGCACAAGTTCATCAATTCCTATTCTCAAACCTACACAAGTTCATAAACAACAAGTTCTTCAACTTACCACGGAAAGGATAGTAAAGGATAGCAAGGAGAGCAAAGGAGATCAAAAGAGAGCAAAGGAGAGCAAAGGAGAGTAGCTCTTAGCCGAGACTTCAAATATTACAACATGTTTTAGTACAAGAAGAGCAAAGTACATTACTCTAAGCCGAGTCTACAAACTGACCTTTATAACATGAGATAGAGTACAAACTACCCGTGAACACTAAACCCATGAAGACTTAAAACTAAACCCGTGAACACTGCCAACCCTACCAACCCGTCAACAGTTGATTCACGTGTTAAAAATGTGATAAAAACAGAATACAAACTACCCGTGACGACTAAAGGATGAGACAGCAACTTTTGTCTTCAACTTGGTCTTCTACTTGACCTGAAAAATAGTAAAACCAATGGTTAGACAAAGTTATAACATAAGAAAAATAGTAAAAACTATGGTTAGACAAAGTTATAACAGTTAGACCTTAACTAAGGAACAATGGTCATGATATATGGTGTTTTTAGCATATTCTAACAATGTTTTCTAAAGTGTTTTTAAGTCTTTATCGAGTCTTTTTAGTCCTTTCTAAGTCATTACAGGTATGGAGTTGCTTTGGATGGAAGATGGACCAGTTGGAGAAAAAGAGTGCAATCTGGGAATTTTCACGCGGAACAGTCTACAAACTGTTCTCGAGTGAGCGGAGC